TATATATATATATATTCATATTTTTTTTTATATAATAAAAACTATATATATATATATATATATATATATATATATATATATATATATATATATATATATATATATATTCATACATTTTTAATTTTTTAATTTTTTTTTTTTTTTGCGCTTTTTTGTTAAGTTTTTGTTTACAAAATGACATACATCATTAAATAATTATTATTTAGTTGCGTTGGTTTGACAAAAACCAACTAAAACTTTTTATATTAAGGGAATTTAAAAGAAAAATCTTTTTTTTTTTTCAATAAAAAATAAAAATAAGAATCATAAATATTTTTATCTAGACATTAAAAAATTTTCTTTGTCTTTCTCCTAATATAAAAAAAAATCAGTTAAAATGTTTTTTATTTTTGTTTAAGTAAAACAAATGATTTATTTGGGAGGTCATCCATAAACACGTCCCCCTATATTTGTCATTTCTTAACACTTTCCCTCTCGTCATAAATAATCACATATACCCCTCTCCCTCCTAAACTGTGATAGCAGTTTTCATGTCAAAATATTTTAAAAGATTTAAATGTAAATACTTTGCAGCATTTTAAAAATTCAACCTAATATAAATAAGGCAATACGCATAAATGTAAGAAGTGTAGGTATAAAAACTTCGGCAAACCAATTTAAATGACTCAGTTAAGTATCAATAGTTGTAATACTTAAATAATTTTTTAAAGTTGCTCTTAGTCTTGCGGAAAAACTGTTTTCAATTTGATAACTTTCATGAATGTTTAGAAAAATCACTCAGGAAGTGCCACCAGTTTTTAAAAATTTTCATTGTTAATTATTTTTAATGAATGAGTTCAATACTTTTGCAATTCTTTTGTTACGTAATTCTAACTAATTATATAAGATAAAAAAAGTTCACTATAATAATTTCTCGGTAGTGTAAATGATTTATTGTAAGTAAAATATGCAGTATCAAAATAACAAGTTTATTTCGTTAACCAGTCAACTCAAATAAATTTTTATATATTATTTAAATTGGTATAGATATCTTGACATCTTGTGAAAGTTTTTAATACAAACCACTTTACTGATTTGCAGAAATCAGACCTAAAAGTTGAAACAATTTTTTAAGCTTTTTTCTGTGTAATGTAAGTGTAAGTGGTATTTTTAGCAATACATCCTCTTTTAGCCATATTTAAATCTTTTTGGGTTATTTTCTTTATTAGGCTAACTTTATTAATTCATTAGACTAACACTAGCATTATTTATAACATTATTTATAGACATTATATATTAACTTATTTTATTCATTAGACTAACTTTCATACAAAATAGCTAAAAATTTAAAGTTTAAATAGGCAAATATTTGATAAAGTTGTTGCGCCTGTAATGTAAGTTAAAAATGGAATGGCCCAATATATATTATTTTTATATTTTTATTTCCTCATTAATAAAAAGATATTCATATATATTATTTTTATGTTTTTATTTTATCATTAATAACTATAAAAATAAATTATTAATAAGAAAAATAAAATAATATAACAAATATTTTGTTTTTCAACGTGTTTTTAAAATGCGTCATTTTTAACATATTCAAAAATAGTGGCCAAGTTATCAACAAAAAAATAACATCTGCGTGGTCATTCAATGGGTGTGACAGCATCCGTCTCCTGAAAAGCTCTCAAATAACTCTCTGTTATTTTCAACGGATTTTAAGACTGACAATACTTTATGCAACTCCAATCAAACTTCCTATATTGTTTCTAATCAACTAAACAGCAAACTTTGGAAACTTCTAAATATTGTAAATTCCTGATAGATTTCTCACAGGCTCCCAAAAAAAAATTCTAAATAGATTTCTCACAGGCTCCCAAAAAAAAATCTAAAAAAAAATGTTATAAAGTTCATTAACAAAAAAATTTTGATATAAAAAAGTGATATGTAAAAAAAAAAAATGTAAATTTAAAAAATGTAAAATAATCAATGACCATGCATATACTTTTTTGTTGTTGATAACATGGCCATAATTTTTTTGCATATATTAAAAATGGCGCATTTTAAATACGCGCTGATTTATTTCTCATATTATTGTATTTTTCTTCTTAATAACTTATTTTTATAATTATTAATGAGAAAATAAAAACATAAAAATAATAAATGTATATATTCATATTTTTTTTTTTTAATATAATAAAAGCAAATATATATATATATATATATATATATATATATATATATATATATATATATATATATATATATATATATATATATATATATATATATATATATATATGTATATATATATATATATATATATATATATATATATATATATATATATATAAACATAAATTTTTTCTTTTTTCTTTTTTTTTTAGCGCTTTTTTCTTAAGTTTTTGTTTACAAAATGAAATACATTAAATAATTATTATTTTGTCGCGTTGGTTTGACAAAAACTAAAACTTTTTATATTAGTATTATATTGTATTTTAAAACTGTTTATATTATTAATTTATATTTTATGTTAAAAGAAAAATCTTTTTTTTTTTTAATAAAAAATAGAAATAAGAATCATAAATATTTTTATCTAGACATAAAAAAAAAATTTTTTTTATTTGTCTTTCTCCTAATATAAAAAAAAATCGGTTAAAACGTTTTTTATTTTTGTTTAAGTAAAACAAATTATTTGTTTGGGGGGGGGGTCTTCCATAAACACCTCACCCTATATTTGTCACCCTATATTTGTCATTGTCTTAACCCTTTCTCTCCTGTCATAAATGATCACATATACCCTTCTCCCTCCTTAACTGTGATAGCAGTTTTTATGTCAAAATATTTTAAAAGACTTAAATGAAAATACTTTGCAGCGTTTTAAAAATTCAACCTAATATAAATACGGCAATACGCATAAACGTGGAGATATAAAAACTTTGTCAAATTAAAAAAATGTTAAATAATGACCCAAATAATAAATTAGATGTTTCTTGTAATGATTGTTCATAATTTTTATATTCAGTTTTATGTTTTTTTAAAGATTCTTTTCTAGACCATTCACGATTGATTGAGGAAAGTTGAAATGATCCTTTTGGACTTGATTTTTTCTCTCTGGTGTTTTAAATATAACTTTTCTACATGAATCTTTGAGTTTTATTTGATAATTTTGAGCAATTGCATGTGAAATTCATAGTATTAAACTTTATCATACTAGTAATATATTGTTTATTTTATTTAAAAAATACTTTTATTTTTTCTATCTATTATTAAAAAATAACATAGTGTCTTTTTATCTGGATTACATGTGCATAAAATACTAGTATCAGGATAATTCTTCTTGACTACATTTGATATTTTTATCATCGCAGAGAACAACTTTAAGATCGCAGAAGCAGGAACTGATATCAAAAAGCCTATCCAATTTTTTAAAAAGTATTTTTTTCTGTTAATATTTTGCATTTACTTTGGTTACTTAACCTGGATATGTTTAAAAGTACTCCAACTTTTTTTCTACACAATAAGTGGACATTAATGGTAATCGAGTGTTAACTTTTTTCCATATAATAATTATTTATTCAGCGTTACAAAATTTTTTAAAAATTAAATATATCAATGTTTAAAATCATTTTAGCTCAACTTAAACTTCATTAAAACAAATTTTTTTTTGCTAAACACATTTTTTTCAACTAATAATCAATTCTCTTTATTACCAAACCTCTGATTCTAAAATCGACCTGTCCTACTTGGCAACACTTTTAAAATTGCATTTTACGCTTTGCATTTTTAAAGAAACTTTTTCTTGAATATAATTGAATGAAAAATGCTTTTTATTATTCAACATTATATTTACTTTTAAAAGTGATTTTTTTTTAGCTTTTTATTAGAATATCACTTTCCTTCGTAAAAGTTTCATAACTTGTTTTACTAACTTTAAATAGTTAATAACTATAAAAGTTAAAAAGCAAAATTATTTCCTTTGTTTTCAATAGCTAATAAATTTTGTAAAATTTCTTTTAAATATAAACTAATAACATTAAAGCTTAGATTAAATGAGTTTAAGAGCTTCTGTGTGTTAATAAAATTACTTCTTATTCATTAATCACAAAGTCACAATTATACCATCAAAAACATCTTAAAGAGAAATCTGCTCTTGATTTGTGACTACTCGTACAAGGCTTGTTACTGAAGAGTTACAACATTGTAATTATGGGGAGCAGGTAAAAAACTGTCACTAATTGCATGATATAATTTATGGACAACTCCTTTAAGAATTTGTGATATTAAAGAATTCAAAATAGTAAGCATTTTTAAGAATTTGTGATATTAAAGAATTCAAAATAGTAAGCATTTTTAAGTTAAAAACTTTATAATACTTATTATAAAGTTTTTTACCCAATTATTTAATATCATGTATTTTCATATTATAGTTTAATGGTTTTTAATAAGTAACCTTTTACAAAGAAATGTGAATGCCATAAACATAGAGGCACAACCCATAAGTAGAGTTAAGAAAATCAAGTTATCATCCCAGATAGTAACCAATCCTAAACAGGAAACTAAATTTTCTGTTGTCTACGAGGTCTCAGCCTAGGAGTCTCTTTATTAGGAAGCAGCTTGATGCAATTTACATCTGCATAATAAAAGTATTGTATTGAAACTATAGATTTTATTAAAATTCATGTTGCCAGTAGCAGAATGGTTCTGATTTGACCCTGACCTGACCTAAAAGTTGACTTGCCTTAGAGTTAATTTATCCTTTTCAAACTTTCAACTAAAAGTTTTCTTATGATTTTTGGATTAAAAATAAAAGTACTGAAAAAAGAGGGTAAATTGATAAAATTAGCTAATTACAAAACTTACTGAATGTGCTAATTCGTACTAATTTATATATTATATGTGCTAATTCGTATTAATTTATATATTAAATGAAGTAAATTAATTTTGAAAAATAATTTTTGTTTTAATTTTTCACTTTATTTATGTGTATAATATGTGTATATTAACTTTCTATTATTTAGGCTATTATCACAGCTCCAGACCATGAACATATGCCTGTTCAACCTGTTGTTCAAATATTGGTATGACTATCATTTTATATTTTATTATGAAATCAATAAAATAAAAAAAGTGACTTTTCATACTTTGTAAAATAACTATTTGTTTGGAAACTAAATAAAGTTTTTAACAGCTATACGACTATCTTTTGTGGTAACACGTTTAGCAGAGTAGGACTGAATTTTTTTATTGTGCTGCTATCATTAGAGAAATTAAAGGGTTGTTCTTGCATATAATTCTTAAATAACTCAGGATTGTTTTCCTCAAAATTAGCGGTTGTTAAAAACTTTACTATCTTGCTTTTTTTTTAAGTTTGTAACTTAATATATATATATATATATATATATATATATATATATATATTATATATATATATATATATATATATATATATATATAAATAAATATATATATATATTAAGTTACAAACTTAAAAGAAAAAAGATTTTAAGTTACAAACGTATCGCGATCGCGAATCGTTTATATTTTCGCGATTGGTTTACTTTTTTAGTTGTTTATTTATATTTTTCTAATTTAACTTTTTTTTTTTTTGGCAATTCTTAAAAGTAATGTTTTCATAGTAGAGTACGTCACGTAAAGTTTGTCTTTTGAATAGAAGCATGATGATTTGCTCTTTTGCGCGGAGATTTTTATTCAACGTAAAGCACTTTTTAATTTAAATTACTTTAAATTTCTGCGTAGAAGCAAATTAAAAAAAAAAAGTTAAAAAGAATTTTTTCTTCATTCTATTTTTTTTTTAACAAAACAGCATTTTTATCTGTTTTTAAAAGAAACGTTGCTCCAAATTAACTTATTAATAATGATTTAAATTATTATTTTATAAACAAATTTATATAATTATTTTTACTACTTTAAAGGGATCCCAAACTCCCGACACATGTTGTGTTCATATTAAAGATAATGTTAAAAAAAAGGTTTGAACCAAGTTTTTTTGATTAAAAATAAATAATGAATGCATACTGAGAAAAACTAATGTTATTGTTTTAGCCGAAGCTCGCCTTCTCCATTTTTTTCAATAACTTGGAGTCTTTAAATTATACATCGCAATCTACAGACTTTAACAATTCCTTAGAAGCGTGTTTAATTCATAAAAGTTTTAGTATTTGACGTCACGGTAGACTTTTAACAAATGAAACTGTGGAAATATTTTATTTATTTTTATTTGAACTTTTTTTGATTATTTGTTAATTTTTTTTTTTTTCTTGCTATTTTTAACATTTAAAAAGATATTAAAAACCTCAAATATTTTATGCTGGTTCGTTGCTATAAATTGTAATTGCGCCATATATTTAATGTTTATAAATTATGAATATTTATTATATCAATCAAGACTCTGATAAAAAATTGTTTTACATTAATTACCCTTATAAAATTAGTAAAAACATTTTTGTTTGGTTAAATAATATTTCGTCTCAATTTGCTTTGCATGAAGTCAAGCGAAAAAAATTAGTTCGAATAATCACTTTGAAATATTTTCAAAACAAATTATTTTAATGATGGGGGTTTAAAAGTTTTTTATAACAAATGTAGGTAAAAAATAAATAATTAAATAAAAAGTTCAACATTAAACATCATTTCTTTATTATATTGCAACTGTAAATATTGAAATATTAACTTGAACTAAATTTACTTATTATTTAGAACGACAAAGCAATAAAAATAAAAACCCCCTAAAATTATGCGATATTGTGTTGTTTATTTGATAATTGCTGTTGGTAATGTTGTTTATGTTGATTATTTTCATTAATATCAAAATAGTCCCAGAATAATCTGTTAGTTGCTTTGTTCATTGTTGCTTTATTTATTAAGTATAAATTTATGTTAAGATAGAAAAGTTTTTATTTCATCGCTCGCTCTTTTTATAAAAGAGTAGAACAAAAGAGAAAGAAAAGTTTTGCGTAATTAAACTTCGAATGAATAAGAGTTGTATAGAATTTATGTATATTTTTTTGCGTCACTCGTTCTTTTTTTTTAGATGAGAGGAATAAAAGTTTAATAGTAACTTTTCTTTGAATAAATGAAAATTGGAAAAGAAAATTGCTTGAAAATTTGTATTTGTTGTGTTTTAAAATTTATTCAATTTTTCATGTTAAGAGACAAATGCCAAATACGATACAAATTGGGAAATACCAAATATAATATGTTTTTTAACGCGCTTTATGACATTTTGACAATTTAAATTATCATTTATCTTGAATTATTGCCATTAATTAATGTGTTAATTATTTTGTTTTATAATAATAGTTTGTCCGTATTTTTGGTAAATATTAGTTGTATAAAACGGGCGAATATATACAAACTTCGTCTTTTATTTGATGGTTATAAAATATTGAACAGTAAACTTATAATCAAAATTTATAACACTGACTTGTGTTGCTATTAATTGTACTTTCAATGCAAAACCAGGATCTCACATATCCTTTCACGAATTTTCATATCTGATACTATTGTCAACTGTTTTGTTTAGTGTATTCTTGTACTTTTTTTTCATAACCTTAACAGGTTCTAATTGCTATAGAGTTGCCGACATTTTAAAAGTTTCATTATCAAAAATCAAAAGTGAAATAAAATGCTACTTCCTTTTTATCCGTATCCAATTTAGCAAATTTAGCAATTTAAAATAAATTAGCGTAATCAAAAAATTTTTATAATAAAAAAAGTTAACAATTCATCATATATCTCTAATTAATACTGTCAGTTTATGAAATTAATTGTTAATACTTTTTTTCGACGGGAAAACAAAAAATATCATAACGTAAAAATAATCAGAGAAGTTAGAAAAAAGTTCCCATTATTTAAATAAAAATAAGTAAGATTCAGAATATATAATATTGCGGTCTCTTGCACAAAAACGAGTGACCGTATACATAACGTTCTATATAATGTAAAACACTCGTATGAAAATCATAAGATTCGTAAGTAAAGCTTTAATATTTGTTTTAATTTAAAAACAAAAGAAATATAAGTAAGATATATAAATCTAAAAATTATTAAGATATCGGTAAAAAAAAAGTTCCTCTTATGAAATAAACAGCTTTTATTATTTTTGATTTTTACAAAAATTTGTTGTAAAAGTTGTTTTGCTGTATGTTAAAAATTTTTTTTTAATTAAAATAGAAAAACGCAGCTTTGTTTAATTACACTTTTCTTTTGTTAAAAATCTACCGTGACGTCAAATGCTAAAACTTTTATGAATTAAACGCGCTTCAAAGGAATTGCCAAAGTCTGTAGATTGCGATGTATAATTTAAAGACTCTGAGTTATTGAAAAAAATGGAGAAGGTGAGCTTCGGCTAAAACAACAACATTAGTTTTTCTCGGCATGCATTCATGATTTATTTTTAATCAAAAAAACTTGGTTCAAACCTTTTTTTTAACATTATCTTTAATATGAACACAACATATGTTGGAAGTTTGGGATCCCTTTAAGTATAATAAAATATATATAAGTTTGTTTTTATTAAATAAAATTTCTATTAGTAAAATGTGCTAATAGAAACCAGCAACTTTTTGCTTCCACGTTTTTCGCTTTAACGACCTTAAAACTATTGAAGTTATATTTAGTTAACTTTACTGAATGGATAGAGTATATCATAGTAAATTAACTTATAACCTAAATCAAAACAACCAGTTAAGTTAACATAGTAACTTACAGCAACTCAAGTATTAATTTAACAATTATATTAATTTATTTAATATACTCGCAAAAGTTAGCCATAGACATATTTCAATTTAGATCTTACATGTTGTTAACACATATAAGCTTTTAACTAATAATTATTTTAACAAAAATTGTCAAATAGAATATGAAAAACGCGACACCATTTTTTTATATTTTCATTTTATTTATAGCGACATCTAGACTAAACATTTTCTATAAATACGCAAGTTGTTTTCAGGAATTTTATTTAAAAAGAAATCAATTTGAGCAAGAGAACTTAAAATTTACTTATTCAAATAATTTTGTGATCGAAGTTTGAAATTAAAAAAATTTTTTTTTAAAAAGTGTGATGAAACAAAGGAGAATGAAGAAAAAAGTTTTTTTTCTTAAATCGTAAATTTTGTTTACGTTTTGAATTATATATTTTTTCTATAGTTTAATATAGTTTTAAAAGTAGAAAAATTCTATTGCAAACATCCAAGCAGTGATTGCAAATTGCAAGCTAAAATAAAAATTATAAAAAATTTAAATTAAATTTAATAAAATATTTTACTTCTGTTCAAAAAATTTTTTTTCTAAAAAAATTATTTAAGCATATTCTTATACTTAACAGGCCTTGCGATAAAGCGTCGGGCGATGTGAATTTTACGTCGTCCAAGAGCGATTTTGCGTGTAGCTAGGGCTATTTGCGTCGAGCAAAAATTTTTTGTTTGAGTATATTTAAAGATATTTTTGAGCGGAATTTTAATGAAGTAATTTACGATAAAGTATTTTAAAAACCGCACGCAGTTGAAATAAAAGTTTGAATTAAAAAAAAATTAAATATGCTCATTATTTACAAGTAGAAAAAATTCATATTAAAAAAAAAGTTTAAATCTTTTAAGCTAACATTTTAATAAAATTATTCAGCAATAGCAAAGTTTTCGATAAAATTGAACAAAAATACTTTCTTTTAGTTTTAAATTTTAAACTTAAATAATTATTTTACGGGGGTTTGTTAGGTTTTAAAAAAAAAGATTTAAAAATATTTGTTAACTGTTAGACGTATTTAAAGTATTTAAGAGTAGTTTCGAGGAAACATTTTAAAAATTGGTGAGGACAAATAAAAAAAAAAAAAAGGATTAATATTAAAACGTATTCTACTTGATTCAATGAAAAGTACAGTTATTAAAATTTTTGTAAAAAGTAACTCAAAAAAATTACTTAAATAATAACGATCGCTTTTATGTTAAAAGTTACCGAAACTCAACGAAGCGTGCTCAAGAACAGCTGCTGAAAAATAAAACGTCAATAGTTTTTCGAATAATTTTTAATAATAATTTTTAAGAATAATTTTTTCGCT